AAGAAACTATACTATAAAGGCATCCGGAATATCGAAATTTATTGATTTTAGATAATTATATAATAATTAAATCAAATTAGTATATTTGTCCATTTCTTCTAAACTAATATAATTAGATTTTATTAGTTTATTTAAATATCTTCCCATTAATTTAATAAAAGATTCTCCAAATATCTTATTAATAAAATCCTATAGGCTTTTAGTCATAATTTCTTTGAATCTTTTGATTAATTTAAAGCTAATTATGGATTTAATAGCTTCTAGTGCCTTTCTTTTGTTTCACTGATATTCTGAAAGCTTTTTATTATATTTTATAACTAATTCAAATGAAATAGGTTTTTCTAATTTATCTATATATAGACTTTTATTAAATGAAACCTCAATATTATCAATATATAACATAAAGCCATTTATTTCGAGAAAAAGCTTAGCTTAATTAATTTATTTAATATAATTAGATCTGCCTTTTAGAGAATTAGATTTAAAATTGATACCAGAAGTTATTTTAAGTTCTTTATAAATTAATTAATCTTATACTAGTTAAATACTAATCTAAATATATAGCTAATTTCGGTTTTGAATAGATTAAATAAATAAATCGATTTAAAATCGATTTTAATCTCAAGGATTGAATAAACCAACTATCTCTTAAATTAGATCTTTATCTTAATTGATATAAAATAAAGATTAAATAAACTAGAGCACCTTAATATAAAGAAGATTAATATATCATCCACTATAAGTAGTAATATAATATAAATATATCATCTAAAAATCTAATTTTATATACTCAATTAGATTTAGTTTCAGGGATATAGACCTCAGGGTTTATATACAATAGTTTTCGATATGAATTCAATTAAATTGATTCGAAAAATTCGATATTTAATAGCTCAATAACAATATATATATAATATATAGTCTTAAATCAAGCTAATTCCCTTTTTAAGTTAGTTTAAACTAGTCAGACTTATAACCTCTTAAAGATTAGTTTTTATAATAAAAAGGAATAATATTATTATAAGGATAATGAAAGATCTAATCAGTTTTAGCTTAAGAGATAAATCGAATATATAGAATAAGAATTGAATTGAAATCAATTTAGAAGAGCTAGGCTGAGTTGAAATAAAATTGCTTGCTTTTTTCTAGAATTCCTTTAAAGAATATTCTAGATTTATATAGTTTATAATGAAATTCCAGTATATTTCATACTTATAAATAAGATCGATTTAAATCGTATCTTATAGAATCACTTTAGATAAAAAGAAAGCACAACCAATCAATTTAGCGAGGTTTCCTGTATACTTCCATCTAATTCCATTTTATTCTATTCCATTATAAATCAATTTGATAAGAGATACTATTATACAATTATATAATAATATGATTTTATAATATAAGATCATATCATATATGTATTAGTCATCAATATATCCCTTATTTGATAAGATATTAGTAAGTGATTTAGTAGACTTATTATGAATCCTCACAATTACGGTGGAAATGTGGATTGGAGACAACTCTAAGTTACGTCTAAATTTGAACCACATTGACCAAAGGCAAGGACAATCACACCATGAAATGTCAGTTTTTTTTCTTTTTGGTTTCACCATGGAATGGGGAAGTCAGTACAGCACCATGACTTGTACTGCTGCATTATTTCTTAAGGAACTAAGAGCTAAAACTATGAAACTTGATTGATCCATTAGGTAGTTGTAGTGCCGAGGTACTAGCGCTTGTTCTTGCACAGTTGTATGATCTCTAGCCTCAGAGGGACTTCGATGAAACGTTTTCGCGTGTATAGATGGATCTTTACAATTCGGGGTTAATTGATGACTAAAATCAGATATAGAAGATGTGAGATGCACATAGTGTCTGGAACTCGGAGTAGCCCGCTGGACGACAAGAGAGCGTGCTCCGCATACTCCATCTGCTCCCCTCGCCTGGCACCTCTTCGATCATATAATCTTTGCTTATGTGATCAGAGCTTTAGTCAATCAAAATCTCTATAATTTATAGTCAGCTTCCTTGCCCTTGAAACCTTTCATTTGATTTTTGGACTTAGCCAAGTTGTCAAAAATTGTTGAATGACTGTAAACTGTGTCCTGAAACCTTTTCACTTCTATCTATTGTAGTAATTCGTATTGATATATACCGTGCCGGGTAGAAGTGTAGACTTATTAAGATCGAAAATTCTTTCCAAAGCCGCATCATGTAGCCTAGTATTATTCTAGAACCGAGGAGATGAGAAGAATAGTTAGTATCACCCCATGCATCAAGATCCGAGGAAATTATCAATCTTCAAGAGCGAAGTACTTTGATGCTAGTCAGCGAGATTAATATTTAGTGAAGATCAATCCAGCTCATATTATGCCTCTGGATGAGGTTAAATTCTTCCATCAAGAGAATTCCTTTTGTAGGAGTGCCGTGTCGAATTTTTGATGTCATTCGCGTGAATTTCCTTGAAAAGTAAAACCTCTCTGTGGAACATATTAAAACGATTCGATTGCTCCAACTGAATGTTATATCCGTCGTCAGCTTCGATAAAGCCTGGTTCAAATTATTATTCAAATCTTTTGCCGTAAGATTATGGCAACGAAACGCGGAGACAGATTTGGATTGGTCATGTCAGATGTGGAGAAATTCTTGCTACCTCGCTTGTTGGTAGTATTAGTATTAAATTAATGCGGTTTTGATAAAAGATAGAGGTACTTGTGGTGCAGCGGTTGAGCTTGACAGCTCAACAAACACCGATCTCGCCAATTGAGGACACCGCTCTATACGTCAAACTTGAGGCTTATCTAATGACGATCTGGTCTACCTACGGGTAAGTACGTTTAGATTAAGAGTCTTCGTTCAGGTCAAGGATATTCAGCGTTTAGATTTAGGGTGTACAATCGATTAATTCCCCAGAGAAAGCAACTGCTTCTTTTTTTTTTTTTGCTACCTCGCTTATTGATAGTATTAATATTAAGTTAATGCAGTTTTGATAAAAAAGAGAAGTACTTGTGGTGCAGCGGTTAAGCTTGACAGCTCAACAAACACCGATCTCGCCAATTGGTGACAAATGCTCAATACGTCGAATGTGATTGTCCGAGGATAGAATGACTACCTACTTGTAGGTACGGATGCATAACTACCTAGTACCTAGGTAGTTACGTTCAGACATAATGTCTGCGCTCAGGATTAGGATCTTCATTTAGATTTAGGGTGTACTAATCGATTAATTCCCCAGAGAAAGCAACTACTTCTTTTTTTTATTTCTTTTTTTTTGCTACCTCGCTTGTTGATAGTATTAATATTAAATTAATATGATTTTAATACAATAGAAAAGTACTTGTGGTGTAGCGGTTAAGCTGGCAGCTTAACAAACACCAATCTCGCCAGTTGGTGACACCGCTCTATACGTCCCAACGTGCCCGTCCGAGGATAAACTGACTATCTACTTGTAGGTAAGGATGCGTGACTACCTAGTAGTTGCGTCCAGATGTAATGTCTGCGCTCAGGATTAGGATTGTCATGTTCAGATTTAGGGTGCACTAATCAACTACTTCCCCAGAGAAAGCAGCTACTTCTTTTTTTTTGTTTCTTTTTCCCTGAGATATGTATTTTCATACTATTTGGTTAATTCATCAAGCTGCCTAGTAATAATTCAAGAGACTGATCCGTCAGTTTGCTTATCATCATTTTTACTTTCTTCAATTAGACGTAGATTTTGTTAGGTCCATCGATTGATCGCCTCAGAAATTATTCCTTGGTAGTGGAGAAAACGATTTTGGGCGGAATCTATTTAATAAGACTACCTACACATTGTTCAGTCCCACTTATTCAACTTCGCGGTCTCACTTTTGTGGGACTTTATATCATGAATGGCGACTACAAACTCATCCACAGTATACCTAATTGGAGGTACAATTCGCTACTAGTGAATGCAAGCTAGGTACTCTTTCCAAGTTGAAAGATTGCTAGTAACACCTGGGCATTCAATTTTTGATAATCTTTCGATATGCAAACGCAGAATTCACCTACAATCATAAAGTCACAAAGCTGAGTAATGTTCATTTCTATGCCCATCAAACATGGTCTGTGAATCTCTCCGAGTGACTTTTGAGACCAGTGAAAAGTATTTTCATCCTATACCTGGCTCGGAGACCTCTTATTAGTAGCTATGTCCTATCTCTCTACAAGTTTCTGACGAAAGATGGATGTGCTATCTTTGGCTAATTTTCTGCAACATTCATGACCAGTTGTGCCATCAGTCTTCCTCCCCAAGATAGGTATACTCTCTTGCCGTTAATGTATGTGGATGACCTTGTGTCAATCTTGTTGCTGCTTGAAATCTAGATTCACTCTAGATGGATAATGCGTGATTACTTCCAATCTTCGAAGAAAAAGCCTCAAAATTGCCTCAAATTCACCAAATTTGAAAGTCAGATTCATGGTACCCGATCTCAAGCCGCTTCAACAGATTTCCTCAAATCCATCCATCCTTCCAGAGTTCACTCCGCCTTTCCTCCTCAGGCTGTATCTTTATGAAACTGAGACTGTAGGTAGATTTCTATAGCTCTTGAGATTAGCGAACTGTTGTTTCCTACCAGCCAACAATTGTCTTAATATCTTGTGAAGTGTCCCGAATAAGTACATATTGCAAGCACCTCGAAAGTATCCACTGCATGTCAAACCAAGAGATTCTCATAAGTTCAACTTCCATACTTTGATATTGGGGGGTGAATTCGTGCCGCATCTAATCAAAATTCACTCGCAGGCCGCAGCTTCTAATTTCCTTGATTTTTCATCTACAACCCGGGAAAAGCCGCTTCCCTCTTCAACAATTTTTTCTTTATTGCCGACCCCTCTTCTATACAGCAGTCTCTTCAAAAGTCGCATCTTTCTATTGTTCTTCCATTTCAAACATATCAGCAGCGCTGGATAGCAGAATACTTTCCTTTCTGAGAAGCTTTGTTTAGCAAGTATTGCATTCTATCAGAACAGCATCCATCATGGATATCAAGAATAAGAAGAGCGATAAATTAGCTCGTCGTGTTGCAGAGAAGAAAGTCAAGATTCAAAGCAGTGGTCAAGCTGCGGTCAGAGAACTGTTTACCATCTGCCGAAAACTAAGATGCAACCCTCCCGTCTGCTTCCCCGAAAATGATGAAATTTGTATCAGTCTCGCTGCATCCTATGTTTTAAGCAACGCCCCAGATTTCAAATCGAGATATAAGATCAATGATACTGAAAAATCACGATTAGATGTCACTCAACAAGCTTTGAGGTGGATTGAAGTAAGGGTTCTTAAATCTTTCTAACTCGGACGATTTTCCTGACTATCTATAGCACAACACACCTCCTTCATACTACTGGAACGATGTTGAAGCTGAGGATACCTTGGCGGATCGTTTTTCAGAACTGGCTCTAGGTGTCTACGAGAAGGACACCAGTCAGGAGGAAGTTCAAAAGGCCATGCTTTACTTAGAGAATAAAATTATGACTAAATTTTGTGAGCGCTTTCAGAGCAAAAACAAAAGTGAGCTGGATCCAGTCAAATACAAACGAGCTCTCGATGTCTGTCGCTTTTCACGACTAGCCGACAGAACTATCATCGGGGAGCATGCAAACAATAAAGTCTCCATGGCTCTCTCTGAGACAAACATTGTATACACGGTGAGTTTTTTGCGTGTTTTTTTTTCAAAAGTATAGTGACTGATATATATGACCAGGACCAATCTCAACAGACTGGAGCAGATTTGGTAAGTTTCCTATGAATCCACAAATCCTCCCTACTATCTAACATTTCAATTAGGGTTGTCAACTACCTTTGAATAATGGCATCACTTCAGTTCCAACAACGATGACAGTATCTACAGATGAAGAAACAAACAAATCTGTCTACGGTGAAAAAGTAGTTGCAGATGTCAAAAATGAGCCAGTCTCCGAATCCGATGCACCCGCTCCTGACACTCTCGACGAGTCAGCCTCCGATCCCGACACATGCACTCGTGGATTTATACTAAGAAACTCCTTGGTTGAAAGACGGTTACCTGGCATGAGTATGGAAACAGTTGTTAATTGGATGGCAAAATCTTTCAACAAGTATTGTGATTATCACAATGATCATGTTAGGATGCACATCGTTTCGACTATTCTATCGAAAGATGGTGATTCTCTCGTGTCAAAAGTAGAGGAATTGGGCTCAAATGTCTCTGTCAAGAACGTCAAATTGATGGAGCTCATCTTGCAATCGTACAGCTCGGAGACAGTTGAGCGACTTTGGGATTCAAAGCGTCGTCAACCTTCCAAGAGTCCTGGGGCATACGATCTCGAGCAATTCTTGAACATGTGTGACAGCGGCTTGCTTCCTATCTGCAATGAGATCTCAAAGGAGTTACCTGGACATGCAAACTTATTTCTCAGCCGTTTCCTGAATTGGCAGAGAAACGGTATGATGGGCAGAGTTTTAAGTCCTTCCGTTCATGTCGGAGATAAGACTCAGGAATTTATTGATAGATTACTAAAGCTTCAGAAGATCGAGCTTTTACCCCTGATAGATGCTGTAATAGCTGAAACTGACGGCAAGCCTGTACCACTTTTGGAATCCTTCTTACGCTGGAACAAAAACAACATCGCACAGAGACTCTTAGATTTTGACGCTTGTGGTGAGATGAGCGCGCTTAGCCTGGTCGAAGCAGCCTTGGATCTCGGACATTGGAACATTCTAGGAGATATTCGATCCCTCCTCATTGAAGCTGAGTTTAATGGCAAGCCTGACCACTTCTTCCGCCAACTTCGCAAGTGGCAGAGAAACAGGTCGTTCCAATATTTACACAGATTAGATCAAGTCACATCAGATAAATCTCCCGCGTTCCTGGATCTGGCTCTAAAGATGTGTGAAACTGGTCTTATGAGACACATCTCTGAAAACAGGGAGTTGATCGGAGATCGGCCATGCGGTTTCTTCGATGACATGTTCGGAGTAGCAAGAATGATCGTAAATGGAGAAGCAATCGTCGTGGCTCGAGGTGAAAATGGAAGCTTCACACGGGATTTAACACCAAACCTCCGACCAAGACTTCTCAGTACATCACTTTCTTATAAATTAAAAGGCTTGCCGGCATGGATGGACTCTATTTGTGGAACAAGAGACGGCACAGATCCGAGTCAATTGGAGTTTGAAGAGGTTGGATGTAGTGAAGTTAGCAAGTTTGTTAATTTTTCTCTAAAGTTGTACGGCTGGGGTGTCCACCGCTGGGCTTTGAACAATGAAGCGTTCATTGGAACAGATCCTGCTTTATTTTTTAATCAGTTGTTTCACGTGGCTGCTGTTCTTGAGAACGGGTCTACAAGTCCTGTTGTCCTTGAGGCAATTGAAGCAACCAAGAAGATCATGTCAGGCACACCTGCAGCTGCAGGAACTAAGGAAATTGACACAAGTGCACCATCCAACAAGTCGTCAGCTATGGTCTCTTCATCATCTGATATGGTCTCTCAATCACTTCAACCTCCACCAAATCCAGCCTCCACTTTTGATTGGCAGCGCAGTCTCTCAGGATCCAAGTTAGCAGCTCCACCAAAGACAGCCTCCACTTACAAATGGGAATCCAATTACGCAGACCCCAAGTCATCAGCATCTTCCAGTGAGCCCTCTGGTTCTTCTGATAGGAAAGGAAAGAAGACCGACACAGCTCCATCCGACACAGACGAAAGCACCGGAATAACCATCCTAGCCCGTGGAAAGTGTGCCAGTTGCCCTCGCCTTGGAACCAAGATATTTCCTCGTGGTAAAATACTTTGCGAAGAATGCAGACCCTAACCCTTTTAATCAATACAACAATCCGAATTCATCTATCCTTTCGCTACTGAACGGGATTTCTAATCTTCGTTGTACCGGGAGAAGTACGTTCCGGATCGTGTGATCAGCAAAATTTTCTCCGATGGCAATCTTCATCTTCATGGGGAGTAAGACTTGCGTTATTTTGGTGTTCAGAGTCTATGTTTCATTATTTCATTCTTTTTTCATTGTTCATTGTGTCTATTGAGATCTGGAGATAGTGTGGAGATTGTATTTCATTGTGCTTTGCGAGTGAGGGGGGTATTGACTATGTTCAATGTATGGCAAGCTGGTTGGATGGCGATAAATAAATGATGCAGTTGAGTGGTATGAAGAGGTTACAAAAAGGCAGAGACTGAGAAAGATTAAGCTAATGTTACAGGCTATTAATTTGGATGAGAATGACGAGCAATGTACACCATGGGCGAACAAATACACTATGGTAACGAAAACGATAGTTTAGATTACTACCAAAAAATACAAAAAAAGATTAAAATGAATGTTGAATGATTGCCCTGACAATCTTGGTGACTTCCGAAACAATGCTGGAATTTTTGGTTAAGTAGAAGTCACCGTTTATTTTTACGAGACGATTATGACTTGAAACCGATGATGCAACTATGACCGTACGCCTAATAATGTGATTGGCAAGACTTCAGTCGGGAAGCCAACATGTCCACCACACCCAACTTCAGCAGCCCAGCAACTTCATAATGTATTTGAAATACGACTTTTCGACTTGCTCACCAGGAGCCTCATCAATCTCACTACTAAGTGTACGGTTAGTCCTCTCAGGCAACGGAATTGGTGCAGTTTCCAATCAAGGATGCGCAGTAATTTGGTTTCCGGAGACCCTGCAACGACGTATAGATTGGGCAAGTTTCAATTTTCTCATAAAATCTCGAATCTTATGTAGCAGCTCATGATCACAAACGATGGAGATCCCATCGAATCATTAGATGGCACCCAATATCCTGAAGTAGATGGGAAAGGGATCAAGGTGAAATTGTGTAATATTATGATGGTCCAAAACGCGAGGCACGACTCAAGCAAGTATAACAGCCTCAAAATAATATAGAACATTGTTCATTTAGCTCCTGAAGTGGCGTTACTAACGTAATCAAGATTTCTGACCCGCAGATCTTTAACCTCGAAATATTCACGACGTAATACAGAGAAAGAAAGAAATAGCCCAACCCTCGCTTCGAGGTCTGTAGATCCACACAATCCCCATTCACAATATCACTTCAGTCTATCACTATTTTCGTACCCAGTCCGGTCCACTAACATCAACTGAAGATTTGTTATCTTATCCCTCAACCTCTGCTTCGTCCGTCATTTTTCTTTTCTTGTTCGGTTTGCCGAGTGAAGCGAGTGGTGTTGTGAAATCTGAAAACTTAAACTTACGGGGATCCTGAAGGGTGCGGGATTCAGAGTTTCGAGTGTTAGGATTACCAGTATCGAAAGTGCGAAGGCGAGAAGTGCGAAGACCAGATGTTCGTGTGCCAAAAGAATCGGTTCCGAGACCAGAAGTGCGAGCGGAAATGCGAGTGTCCAAGGGGACCGACGTCTTTTCATCGTCTTCCTCCGATGCTTCTGTATAATCTTCAACTACCATCAAGCTTCTTCTTTTAGAAGGTGGCAATTCGTTTGTCAAATGTTTGTCTGCTCGCATTGCCCCACTCTCGATGTTTTGCTTTGAACTTGATTGAGACTGGGACTTCCCATCTTGAAGAGGTTTGGCGTCGACAGTATAGCTACCGTGTTTTTGAGTAGAATCGTCCCCATCATTGCTGTTTCCCTCCATCCCCAGACCGTCTTCGGCTTCGTCGCCTGAAATTCTCTTTCTCTTGCTTGAAGATCTATTTACCAACAGCGCGAAGCTTCTGCCGTCTAAACTCTTTGCTGTAACTTCCTTCGAAGCCTTCCGCTTCTTTCGAGAATGCTCGACGTTCATGTCACTATTGTCATCGGTATTGACATATCTTTCAGGATGCAAGGCTTTTGCTGCTTGAAACTTAAGTTCCTTAATTTCAGTCTGTGTCATTTGCACAAGTGAAGAACCGGGGGGGCTTACGGCAGCAATTCTCATTTCAGAGTTGCTCACTTTATTGGAAAGTACTTCATGTAAAAGCTAGAGATGTATTTGATTAGTGGTGTCATCAAGTCTTGGTTAACACGCTCGAGGCTTACTGGACCAAGGGTCTTTCCGCCATCAGTCGACGTTGCCAAGCGTAAACGATGCTCCATATAAGCAGAATAGTTGTCGGTCTCTTCTGCAGGTATACCTTGGACATTCTTAACCATATTTTCGTAAGCATCCACAAACGCCTGTTCTTCTTTCGCGCCCGGAATCCATGCTGGGTTTGGATTTTTCTGCAAGTAACTATGTTAGCTTGAGTCTTCTCTGTATCACGATGCCATGCAGAACTTACTTCCCAGAAGGCCAGTACTTTTATTGCTAGATATTGCTTCAAATTCAGGATGTCTTTGGGGCTGGACGATGAAATATCTTTACGCCAGGTGCCGAAATTATGAGCGACGTAACCACCTCTAATATTCAACGAGCCAAACATTTTATCGTCCTCGGAGAAAAATTTCCATTGCATTCGAAGGCCTTCGTCTAAGACCTTTCGATCAAGTGTCCTCAAAGCAGTGTTCTGGGCAAGGGCATATTTCAATCTTGATTCTGCCTTTTTTGATGCAGTCTGTGGCTCCTGCGAGACCGTCTGATCTGGTTGCAAACTCATGTTTGTTCAGGTGCAGCTTTGTGTTTCCTGAATGGCTAAGTAATAGAGGCAAAAAGTGTTCAGTGGCCCGTATCAATTTGTCAAACCAAAAGCTTGTAAATCTCTTCGTCCTCGTTATCAGTCTATCAAGCGGAAGACAATACCCTCAAGACGTGTTACATAAAACACAAAAGTACCGCGGCTTCTGTTGCCGCGTGGTCGAGCGCGAAATGGTAGATATGAGTGAATTTTCAAGGCCAAATGTTGCCACTGCCTACCTAGGTAGTTTAATAAAAGCGTCAGCTACCTATGTACTCTTGGATTTGACAGTTAAAAGCCGGCTGGAAATTCTACTACATGATTTTTGAATAGATTTCAATTCACCTACAGTTTCTCGCCCATCAGTTCACGCCTAATAATTCACATGAATCAATGGGACATTGCCGTCCACAACAACAGGTTGGATGAAAATCGTGGAGAGTATGATCTGATATCCTCAGAGCAAATCTTTCTAAGCAAAAGAAGAATGAAGAGATCGCTAAAATGAAGCTATTCTCACTTGTCAGATACCCGAGACTTTAAGCAGCGGATCACCTATGCCCTGCCCGGATCAAGTGATTCATCGACTTTCCTTGAGCGAGATGAGATGAAGATATTGGTGTCCGGTAGGAAGAACTGAGCCCGTCAGATATAGCAAATATGCACCATCATCCACTATAATAGTTACCAGTTCGTGCGTTCCTAGTATGTCAAAGGTCCCCTGTGCTTTTATAGTAGAAAAGTCTAGTTCCTCAAGCATATTTCTATTCTCCTTAATCCTGCGCTTGGTCTTCGGGTTGTCTTGTTCCCCTTTCTATCCAGCTATATGGCTATCATCTACGTATCAGAATCAAAGAAACGAGCTTTGAACGAGCAACATCTGTATTCACTCCATCTTTTCATAACAAATAGCCATCTTTGTCAAAGACCGCTTTCTATTCGTACATAGTTAGATCCCAAACACAATTTTAAAATAAAGTTAAACCTGTCTTGAACAACGCGATAGCCAGATTCCCAATATCATTGATTGTATCTATTTCGATCTGGTGTTACTCACTGAGAAACTTTACGCGAATTTGCTCATCACTTCCTGATATGGGCGAAAATGATGTCAAAGAGGGCAAAAAAGAATACTTCACGTGCACTGATTTACTCCCGTTATTCCACATCCCTGCTCCACCATAATTTCGCACTTACAATCAATTCCTTGTAATTAGTCTATCTGATCCACATAAACAACCCTAGATGCATATATTAGCTGTCAGATCCTCAGTCAAGTTACGGGATACAGTCTGAGGTTTCCTCGTCTGGATTCTCTTTCGCTTCGTTGTAGCGATAAGCGATGCTTAGACTAATACTGTATAAAAGAATCCGTGGCGTTTAATTCTCACTTGAATTCCAATTCCAAGAGATTGAACTACCTGATCTTCAGAATTCTCCCTCATAGTATAGCTATGATCAGTAGCCATGAGTAGAAAATGAAGTACTGGCAGTAAGCTTACAAGGCAATTCAGAAATTCAGAACAATGTAAATCAACGAAATACCGCGTATCTAGACATGCAATACCGGGATCTGTTTACGAGAGGGAGTACCATCACTTGTTGCCATGTGATAATGTTCCGGACATGCGTTCTCAAATACATTATGATGAAACTCCCACCATCTATCTCTCTCTCTATATCATTCGAAAATGTCAATCAAATCTCATCAAGACTTTGAAACGACGAGATCCCAATACCAGGAATTCATAGCGCCCTTTATTCCAGACGTACAATCAGAGAAACTCTCTACACTTACTATCTCCCCAATCAATTCAATTCATTTCGCTAACCCCGTTTTAAACCATAACCTCAATATCGAGAAGAGGTACAGCGACAACTACTGCAATCAGACTAATATCATAACACAACATCTAGCATAATCGACCATTCCCGAGTATTCCCAGCTAGCTTCTAGAGGTGCACATATCACTATGACAGTCATAACGAAACACATCGTGAGCTATGAAATAACACGATTATATTAATTCACATTGAACCTACGATATAACGACGAAAGAGTCCCGATCATAGAATCTACGAAAGGACATCTAAATATCCGCAGTCTAAGAAGCCGAGTTTCAACACGGAAAACATCACGAGCACTAGAACCAAAACCTCAGCCTTCGAGTTCGGAATCAGGTACCAATCCCAGATTAAACTCGATGTTTCTTTGCTGTCGATTTCTTGGGATTCTTTTTTTGCAACAACATTGCCGTCTGATTTTTCTCTTCTCTCTATTCTCATTATCGTACCCGCTATACTTCTCAATTCTTAGCGGTCCAGAAGTTGCAGGACAGTGCAATCCCTAGAATTCTTGGAGTCAAAATATTCTACCAACCACATGTACTGTCAAGGGTGTATTTATGTTCAATATCACATGTGGGAGTATTGAAGATTTGTGGAAGTTTTGGTTGAGGAATATCTGAAAGAATTGAATGCTTGTCGTCTACGGAGAGAAACGGGCATGGGATTCTTCAGGCCTTTGTGTCTTTTCTTCTGACGTCATTGCGGTGCTTCAGTTAGTAGCAGCTATCTGTATGAAAGAAGCTCCCTAGGTAGTTTATAATGTGATCAGATGGAAGATAAACGTAAGCGTGTCCAGGTTTTGTTACTTTTAATTAGTAGGCAGACCCGTATACAAAAGGGGCACATTGACCACGGTGAGGAGCGGCACTTGCACAAACGATTCCGCTTCAGTTCACCACCACATCGCACTGGCAGTTCTAGGAAGATTGTTTATTTCAAGATGAGACTATCGGTTTTCTAAGCGAGTACATGTGTCAACTCCTTCCCCTCATACCATCTCTGAACGTTCTCAGCTTGTACTTCATACCAATCATTCATGGTACCTTCTTCCACATAACCCATATGCGGACTCAACAAGACTTTGCTGCTTCCAGCCTCTCCCCATTTTGTGCTTCTCCACTGACTGTCTTCTGGCAAAGGCTCTAGATCAAACACATCCAGCGCAGCCCCACGAATCTTTCCCTTTTGCAAAGCGCCCAGTAAGGCTTCCTGTTGGACAAGAGGTCCTCGTGATGTGTTGACAAACAAAGCAGTCTTCTTCATTAAATCCAAGTCCTTTTCGCCTACTATTCCTCTGGAACGATCACTCAACACCAAATGCACACTAACCACGTCGGCCGTGGAGAACAACTCTTCCTTACTTACAACCTTGAACACCTTCTCTCCATCCTCATCCTCGGTGTCAAAACCACTGTCTCTAGCCTGTTGATCCGCAGTTTCTTGAGTCAAATTCGAGCTCCAAGCTATAATCTTCATACCGAACGCTGAATACATGATCTTGGCTACATTTGTGCCCAATCTGCCTAGTCCCAAAGTTCCAAAAGTCTTCCCACTCAATCCAGTTGCTAACGTTGTTTGCCAGCCACCTTCCTTGACTATTCTATCATCCCAGGCTACATTTCTCGCAATTCCTAAAATCAAGGCAACAGTATGTTGCGTGGTGCTATCTGGTCCTCTCTTTGGTTTCCCCGAGGCACCGGTGACAGTAATTCCAAGTCTCTTGGCGGCTTCCATATCAATACCCTTATTTCTGCTTGCTGCATTGAGGAGGAGTTTGAGATTGGGAAGTTTTTCTAGGAGTGATGCGGGAAAGGGAGTCCGTTCTCTCATAGATGAGATGATTGTGAATGGCTTAAGCCTCTCCACCAGCTGATCTCTGACATCTTCCGGAGTTGAAGGGTCATTGTAAGGTAAGAGGGTGTCTGGAAAAGTGGTAATCTCAAAGGTTGACTTGAGTGACTCGAAATGTTTAGAAGCAATCCCTTGATAATCATCAAGAATAGCCAATTTGATGAGTGGCCGAGGTACAGGAGGCATAGTGATATAAATGGATGGCAGGTACACCAGTATTGAATTATCTAAAAACGAAGCAATGCGGGGTAAAATGTGGGGTGACGCTGATATGAAGGATCAAACAATATGTCAAAAGCAGGGGAAAGAGGACTAGCAGAAGTGTTGCTTTGGATGAAGTTATTCCAGAGCCCTTCTCGGCGAGACAGTGTGTGGTGTGTAAGATTTACCAATCAATGATTGATTCATAAACAAGCCTTAAGTTTCCGAGAGGACGTGGAAGTAAAACCGTGAGGTCTGCATATCCGAGGTCGGAAGCAAGCATCCACACGAGAGATGATGAATGGGGGACGTTGCTTCAAACCCCACGATTATCCGCTTCGTAAATTAACTGAAGAGTGACCAGTGGGGTTTCTACTAGATCAATGAGTACCACGTGAGTACCAAGTGTACACAATAGAATATTATGTTCGACCAGGACAAGAGCACGGGTTTACTTTGATCAATTTAACCTGGCTCCCTGGGTACACCGTGCCAAACCGAGAATGCGCAAAAGTCGGCAATGTATGATTGGAGCGCATGAAGATTCAATCCTCTTTTTTACTTCTCTTGGTCGGGCTCTCTTCCGCCGACAACTTGTCTTGCCCCACCACTATTTTTGGCGGGGATATGATAGTATCCAATATCTCAGTATGTACCTCGTTTTGCACGCATTGGGGATTGGGTTGATGCCTTGAACACGTATAATTCGTGGAGAACTTCTGACAGAACACAGAACTGCCTCATCTCATTGGAAAGGGTGGGTGGTCGCGGATAATTCTACTGCACGCTATTGGAACCGTGGGGTCACTTGACAAATATTGTAATTACCACAGGTGAATTCTAAATACTTTAACTTCCTCTATCCTCCAAGAAGATACTTTCCTCAAAGACAAAAAAGCAGCAAAAATGAGCCCTTCAGCAACAGAAATCTCACAGACCACCATGGCAAAGCCTACCAAGTCTAACATTGGTGTTTATACCAATCCAGCACATGAACTGTGGGTTGCAGAAGCAGAGCCATCGTTAGAAAGCATTGAGAAGGGCGATTCATTGAAGCCAGGAGAAGTCACAGTGGGAATTAGAAGTGTCGGTATCTGCGGGTGAGTTTCAATCTATTCTTCGGCACATAATCATTCTAATAGTCATTCCAGGTCGGATGTACACTTTTGGCATGCTGGGTGTATAGGCCCAATGATTGTCGAAGATACACACATACTTGGACACGAATCAGCCGGTGTTGTACTCGCAGTCCATCCATCGGTTGATAGTCTGAAAGTCGGCGATCGAGTCGCTGTTGAGCCAAACATTATCTGTGGTGAATGCGAGCGATGTCTCACTGGTAGATACAACGGATGTGAGAAGGTCTTGTTTTTGTCGACGCCACCAGTTCCGGGGCTTCTTCGCAGATATGTCAACCACCCTGCAACCTGGTGTTACAAGATTGGAAACATGTCATTCGAAGATGGAGCAATGTTGGAACCTTTGAGCGTCGCATTGGCTGGTTTAGAAAGAGCAAATGTTAAGTTGGGAGATCCAGTTCTCATCTGCGGAGCTGGGCCTATCGGTCTTATCACCCTCCTTTGTGCTCGAGCCGCTGGAGCTTGCCCGATTGTTATCACAGATATCGATGAGGGAAGACTTGCATTCGCCAAGGAGCTTGTTCCTTCAGTTACTACGCACAAAGTCGAGAGATTATCCGCGGAAGAGGGTGCTAAATCTATCGTAAAATCCTTTGGGGGCATTGAGCCAGCAGTCGCTATGGAGTGTACTGGAGTTGAAAGCAGTGTAGCTGCAGCTTGTTGGGCAGTCAAATTTGGTGGAAAGGTGTTCGTGGTCGGTGTAGGCAAAGATGAGATGACACTACCATTTATGAGATTGAGTACCCGCGAGGTGGACCTACAATTTCAGTACAGATACTGTAACACATGGCCAAGAGCTATTCGATTAGTCGAGAGTGGTATCATTGATATGAAGAAGCTGGTAACCCATCGTTTCCCACTGGAAGATGCGATTAAAGCCTTCGAGACAGCAGCAAATCCAAAGACTGGTGCTATAAAAGTTCAGATCAAGAACGACGAATAGGGTCGATTAAGATGAAATCTAATGCAATTTGTCGCGATAGTATAGTGTAGACCGTTCAATTGAATATAATAAAAAGCTTTCTTCAAGTTGTGCGAAATGTGAAATGTAAAGATGGATTGGAGATATTAAACTCCTGCTTGAAAACAATAGGTTGATTTGTGCTTAGTAATCTGCAATTTCCACACCACGGAACGTTCCTAAGCTTCCCGGCGTCGGCAAAAAAGTCGACAAGCATTTCTCTCGCGATTACACTCCACCACCACGCACTTCTCGATAATCGACACCTCGAGTAACGCGAGAGTCCTTTTCTTTCTGTTTATCGGCGCATAGATTCCATAATGTCATTACATATCTCCCGCACCGTGCTGCGGCAATCTATGAAGGCTCCTGGAAGGGCAGCACGAAGATTTGAATCTACCTCCACTAAGGCCACCGAAGCAGCCAAAGATACCGCCGCAAAGGCATCAGAGAAAGCATCAGAATTCCAGTCGAAAGCTAGCGAAGGTCTTTCTCGTGTCACTTCGTCCGCAGGACCTGCTATCTCGGGTGCTGCCAAAAACCTTGGAAATGCCTTGGGGAAAATTGGAGGAAGAACCGGAAGATTGATTGCCTTCATTGAGCGTAAGTTTCATTTTGCATCCGCATGCAGAGATGATTCTCCGGTGATTTTACAAATCAATGGCTAATTTTGTGCTCATAGGACAAATCCCACCAACCGTCTACTATGCTCGAGTTGGATTAGAGCTTTCCAAATTAGTTATTCAAGGTCAAAAGATGGCACCTCCGTAAGTTCAACGATGAAATGCTTTTTACCAAATTGTGGGCTGATTTTTGGCTTGCAGACCAGCCTCAACATTTCAATCATACTTCCAAAAGATCGTACAGGGTGTTAAATCCGGAAACCCAAGCTCTGCTTTCAATTCGGCAGCAAACTCCAACAAAGCAACACCTACTGGTTTGCTCGAACAGATCCGAAATATCAGCGCAGCTCAGATGGTCTCGGGTGGTGTTATAGTTGCTGAGGTTTTGGGATTCTTCACAGTTGGTGAGATGATCGGTAGAATGAAGTTGGTAGGATACAGAGGGGACACTGGAGCTCATCACTGAGCGGACAGTGATAATGGAGCTGCGTGAAACGTGAAGAGAACTATCGGTGGGGTGAACGAAAAGGGCGTAGCATTCTTTCTCGACCGTGGCATGAGAAGCTACGGGTGGTGAGATTGGGGTGCATTTGCACATATCCTGATACAATTTTTCTTGTACTCGTAGAACCATGTCTGTACATCAAAAAATAAACAGCATAATGGTGGTTTAGAGTTCTTTCAGTTCCTGATCCTTCCATTGCCCGACGAGAATTTCTCGTTTTATAATGTTCTGGTACGGGCATTCGGAATATGTATACTTCTCGGAAATGGTCTACTTGCTTGAGACTTGCTCCCAACTTCCATCACTTCATCAGAGACCATATAATATAAGATTACAATTGAGTAGATTCAATGGGTACTGGTACACGCTTTATTTTAGAACTTGCCTTAATCATGCCCAAATTCTTCTTATTCTCGTTCTCCCTCTAACTGAGGGGAGGGGCGGATAGTCCCCTCTCCTTCCAGACCCTCTCCCTTCAGTGTTAAAAGGTCTTGAATCATCTCATAATACAACGCTACATATTGCCATATAATCACAATACAACCTAGTATAGAAAACATGACCCCTTATGATATACAAGACCCTGCCGCCAAACCCTTGGCAACTATGATTTTCTCGCCAGATCTAAAACATTCAGACGATCATGAATATAGAATGAGGATCACCTCACCAAAGAGCCTCAATCGATTCGAGTCTTTCTGGCTTGCACGTGATGATGCATACTTGGAACATGAGGATTGTTGTTGCCAATTTCCTATCTTAATGAACTGGTGGCTTGTAAAGCTATACTGCAGTCTGCACGAAACCGATGTCTTGAACATGAATGTGTGTTCGAGACACCGATATTCATACATACTCCTTCTAGCCTCAAATGTTCTGACGTCGAATTCGAGGTTCAGATCTCTGTTACACCAAACGATATCATCAGCCTCTTGACATGTCGTGTATATACGCTTTTTGGTTCGCGAGCATTTTCTAGTTTCTCTGTTTCTTAATTTCCTTCCAATGCTGTGCTCAAGACCTACCCGGTAAAACAATTTCCTCGATTTATTGATATCAAGGGTTCTACTTGTCCTGTTGGAAGAAGCTGAAAGATGGCGTCCAGGAATAGATAGCAGCCGCAGATAGATATGTAATGTTCCTGTCGACCCCCTTGGCACGGTAGATAAGCTTTCAAGGTTTGCGCCCTGATAGTTGGAGATACCGTCTGACCGTTTGATGTTTGCATTGGAAATCCTCCTTTTTCATGTATGAAGCTCAATAAATAGATCCTATGATGTCTTTTGATTCACTGTGATCGTCATTCACTGTTCTCAGGGGAAGCTCTAGGGTAGGTAATCAACGTAATATATAAACACCCTCTTTGGATGGACAGTATATATACTAGGTAGTGTTTGGGACATCTACATCTACATCTACGACACAGATAGACACACACTCTTAATACACCATATATCGATATCAACCCATCAACCCCGTTCGTCGACGTTTTTCATAATCAAACACACCAGGTCAAGGATACTGATTAGCTTTTCCCTTCTTTGATATAATCTTGCTTATGGCAACCAATCCATAGAATTCGTGGCATTCATAAACATTGGTCCATCTTATCTTTTTTCCCTTCCCGTTTTGGTTCCATGAAGACCCTGGAGACGTTCATAAGACCAGACATCTTTGCTTCTTCCATTATACCTCGAAGTCGTCACACCTGAAATGATTTGGGGCAATTAACGGAAAGTCGCGATAAACAGATTCAAAGCGTTGTATCCCTATCCCTATCAAGGATTCAGACAAATAAAAAGTCCCCCAATTCCATTTCCAAAGTCATTCCTGGTAGCGGCGGGTGGACTTGAACTTGGCTGTTGCTTTTGCAAGCTACTGTGAACTTTTTCGTTATTTACTTGGTTTCTAGCTCGTGTGCTTGTTTATTACCTGGTAGTTGCTTGTCATCTGCCCTTCTACTTCCTCCATCACCAACAACCTCGAGACAAACATCCATTATTTTGCCCATCATGGCTTATAATGCTCTTGATCAAAATGATTTTGATGGGGACCATGACGGTGATCATGAAATAAACTCTACTGCCTCCAATTCTCCATTCCAACGATTGTCATCAAATCATCTATTTTTAGATGCGCAAAATAGCGATACGAGCCACGGGCAAGCATATTCTCCAGAAAATACACCGAGTCTCAGCCAAATGGTACAATCGATTACTTCGAAGAGCACAAAAACGAGTGGGAGTTATGATATTGTAGAAGACGACGATTACGAAGAGCACGAGGTAGAACGAGAGCCATCATCCCCTCCTTCACTGGCGCTATCACCAGAAAGGAAGAACGTCACATCGCGAGAGGGAACTACACCGGAGAAACCCCTAGTTTTGAGCATTCCACGGCCCCGTCCCCGAAATAATACAGCTACAGGGTCGTCCAACAATACGACTTCTCCTATATCACCTCGTGCAATATTATCGAAAGAACGTGCGCCGATTGTTCGTACAGCATCAGGTCACAGCATTGCGTTACGGCACCCGACACCCGATTTACAAACGCTGCAAGGAGCTTATGTAGGGAATATTGACAAATTGGAAAAGACAGCAGAACGATTGAGTATGACTTCCTCCATCGATGATGCGATTCGGGAACTCCATATGGAGCAAAAGCGTTCTGATAGTCGCCGGTCATCCATTCTGTCGCAGCTCAACGAAATGCCACAAGTCTCACGAGAAGTTTCCAACCCCGGCTCCATCATCGAATTGAACAATGCAGCGAGATCCGGGGGGTATTCACCTGCAGGGTATATGATGTCCCCGAAGGGTTCCTTTTCTACCACTACGCGAGGGAGATCGGCGTCGAAGAGCTCGAGATTGGGAAATCGACAAGAACCAGAGTTAGAAGGAAGACCGTTGGATTCATTTGTTAACATGTCCTTTCCCTCACTGGTCGACCATCGAACACCTTCAATCGCGGAGCAAGATGAACGTTCTGCGACCTTGACACGACCAACAGTCGACAATCTCGGCACAGAAAATGCGGCGAAGAATATGGCAGGCCAGGTTGATGAAGCTCGACCTCAAACCTCAACATCAACCAACACGTTTGACCAGGCAGAGCGAATGTTTGCGGATTTCGATGGAGTCCATTCTGCACCTTTGAGAACATCATTCGATCACGAATTCATCATGGAGGAACAACAGAGAGCTACATCCGGAATGCCTGAGGAGCTACATGATGATCAGAGGAGATACTCATCTGGTACACAGCTTTTGCAAGGGGACAATGATCAGAGAAGAGTAGTATCTGGTGATCGGCAGTCGATGGCTAGGCCGCAAACATATGCTGATCCAAGTACTGGGCAGCAGATGGTTTACTACCCAGCACGAGTTCCCATGATGCTCAATTTGCCCCAGAAACTCTCCAAGAATCCATCTTCTATGGCAAGGAATAAGAGAAGATCGCAAGTTCTCAGCAATATTCCTGCTGCTGCTCGGCAATCAGCTATTTGGTTACCCGATGTGTTGGAGACGAATGGCGAGCCTCTACATGAAAATGATGATGCGCAAAATCTAGAATATGTTCCTCAGCATCAGAGAATGAGTATGGGTGGACGAAGAAATACACAGGATTTGTCGCATATGCCTCCCCACCTAAGAGCAAACGCATTCTTTGAGCTCCCACCGGGGCAAACCGAGGCTATGGAGTTAAAAGATCAATCGGCTGTTGCTACTCTGGATAGTATCTTGGATGCATCTGCTCATGCTCCTGTCACCGCATTCGTTGATCATGCAATTGCTGGACATCTAGGAAACGAGGTGTACGGAAAAACACACCAACGCAACAAGAGTAGCGCTCAATTACTGGCACCGACACCAGAGAAGCAAGACAATTCAAAGAAACGAACAAGCTCATTCAACTTTCTATTGGGCCGTCGGTCAAGTAGCAATAATTTACTTGGAGATGATGGCAAGCGTGCTTCTACAATGTCCAATATTCAGGTTGAAAGAAAGGCAACAAGGTCTCCTATTGAAGATGACGAGGATGACATTAACAACAAAGACACAACACCTTTACGACACACACGCGGGGTTAGTGGTGCTACTGATCTCATACGAGCCGAGGAAGGTGAAGTAGAAAGTGAAGAGGATGAAGGTCAAAGGGACGATGAAATTTACCACGGTCCACCAACCACACTTCTTGCCGAGTTACAGTTGCGCAAGCAACAACAGAAAATTCGAACTAGACCACCTCTCAGTGTTAATGGCATGCAGTCTACATTACTCCAGATGGACACAGTTCTACAAAGGCAACAACAAACCAGGAAACAAAAACGGGTTAATCTAGCGTGGCAACTTGGAGACAACGAGGATCCTGACGCCGAAGAAGATGAAGATGTTCCCTTGGCCATGTTAAATGTAACGAGGTCTCACCTTCAAGATACACGCAGGCCCCTTGGTTTAATGGAAAAACGTGAATTAGAAGACAACGAGCCACTCAGTAGACGCAGAGCTCGATTAACGGGTCAACCCATGCCAATGCCTCGAGCTACTACCATGATGCACATTCCTACAGGCACTCCTGTTGTGGAAGAAGATGAAGGAGAGACACTTGCACAACGCATTCGACGTCTGAAAGAACAAGGAGGAACAGCAACTGGCCTTCCAGCTACGAGACCTGTTAGCGGTGATTTTGCATCTGAGATGATGAGTCAATTCGGTGGAGACATTTTGAATGTTGATGGTGGCAAGGGCAAAGGAAAGGAAGTTTCTACCACTCCAGTCAATGAAGAAGAGGAAACCTTAGGCCAGAGACGTAAACGTCTCCAGGCAGAGAAGGAAGCTCGTGAAAAAGAAGTCGGCACGGCCGGTGATGCTGAAGCGACTCCAGAACCTTTGGTAATCAACAAAATGAACAGTATGGCTGACATCCTCTCGGCTCACCCGGCCGCTGGCGCAAGTCGAAATTCATCATTTGCCAAACCATCCCGACCAGCTACTGGTCTCCTCGGCTTGCACGAGAAGCAAACTCAGCTAAGAGCTAGCACAATGACTAACCTCGTCACTCAACAAAATATGGCTCCCCGCGGTACTCGAGTTAAAAGTGGCACGTACAACGACCCGCAATCTCATGGGCAACCTAATACAATCCGACCACCAAATACTTCCAACTACAACCTTCACAACAGCGCACTTCCCAACAGCGGCTACCCACAATTCGCTCAACCAACTATGAACTACAACAACTTCAATAACTCCATGACACAACTTGGAAATGCATACCCCAATATGGGCTATCAAAACAACATGCCCATGAGCGGCTATAATAACATGATGCCAATGCAAATGCAAATGCAGAATATTCACACAAACCCTATTACTGGCCTGACTACAGGACCTGGTGGTGAACCGCTTAATCAGGGACAAGTTGATATGGTGGAGCGATGGAGACAAAGCGTTATGCATTAAATCAAATACACTCTTTGATCAAGCCGAGTTTTTTCATTTGTTTTCACATCTCAAGTTTCTTCTTTCATCATTTTCAGCTTTCGGCTTTTGGATTTCAGGGAATGCAAGGATGGATACGAAACCATATCTCAGGAATGGATGGAATTTTATAGATAGATACACATGGATGCAGCATTTATAGTTGGCGTTTCATTATTGGTTTTGAAATTTTCTTGCATTTTTTGAATTGAGTTTGAATCTGGACTTTGGATTTTTGCAAACTATCTAGCGTTCGATCGATAGTTGCGAGATATACCTATTTTGAGCCCCTTCTTTTCTTCCTTCGTTTGAGGTTTCTCGGGGGAGAGGGGAGGAGGATTTGCAAGATTGAATGTGGGTGGAAAGCATAGCGTAGGATATGGGATGTGCATTTGGTGGCGTATATGGTTGGTTGATTGATTGTGCAAGTTCTTTAATCTTGGGAATGGGAAATTAGAGGGATTTGGAATTGGAATTTGGGATGGAGAGGTTGGGATGGCATGGCATGGCATGGCATGGGTTATTTAGATGCTTGATTAGTTGGTTGGTTAGTAAGGGCTTTGATATAACTATCTGGCACTCGGGAGGGGTGAGCTAGTGAGATGAGGAGAGTGCAATGGCGATGGCGATGGGTTTATATACGTATCTATATATGGTGGATGTGGATTCGTAGGTAGTGAGTGGGTTGGTTACCTACCTATTTAATAGAGAGATTTAATACTTTATGTTTGGATGTGAAGATTTGCTTGGTTCTGATGTTTTGTGAGATGTATGTGTAGGTATGTGTAGGTATGTGTTGGTATGTGTTTTTATTTGTGGATTATATGATATTTCTTCGTACTGCGAATATGTGTAACTGGGTAGGTAGGTATTGGTAGGTAGGTAGGTAGGTAGATGACTCAATTCGATGTATGAGTTTTCATGGTAAATGTATATATGTATGTATATATGTATGTATATATGATATCATGGGATTGTAGATTTTCAATAGTATTTTGTATCTCTGTGATTGAGTGCTGGGGGGGGGAATGTGGAGATCTTGAGATGATGGAGAGGAAGAGGAAGAGGAAGAGGAAGAGGAAGAGGAAGAGGAAGAGGAAGAGGAAGAGGAAGAGGAAGAGGAAGAGGAAGAGGAAGAGGAAGAGGAAGAGGAAGAGGAAGATAACAATAGATTTCCTAGATTAGATAGATAGATGGGTGGGATCTAAAGTATAGCGGTATGTGAGTGTGTGTGTGAGAGGGAAGAGAAAACATGGAAGAGAACATATACACGAGAGAACATATATACGAGAGAAAATATATATAAAAAAGAAAAGGAGGAAGTAACTTCAACTAAAAAACTTCACAGTATGCTGCCATAATCCAATGCTTTGAATTATAATCCAATACTTCGAATTATAATCCAATACTTCGAATTATAATCCAATCCAATCCAATCCAATCCAATCCAATCCAATCCAATCCAATCCAATCCAATCCAATCCAATCCAATCCAATCCAATCCAATCCAACAACAATACAAGAGTTTAGATATGTAAAAGCTTTTGGGAGATTTATGTTTTGTGAAATGTTGAATTGGATTTGAATTTGAAGTGTTTTTAGATATCTAGATTTTCACATTTTCACATTTTCACATTTTCACATTTTCACATTTTCACATTTTCACATTTTCACATTTTCACATTTTCACATTTTCATATTGGTTGGGTTGTAGTTTGGACTATTGGACTATTCATTGCATAGATATCCTGACTTTGAGTGAGAGAGAGTGAGAGGGGGTGATGTTGCGTTATTATATATCTAAGATCTAGATGGTGATGGATATTGAGATGGGAGGATGGGGTAAATAAGTAGGTAGATAGATGAATGAATATTTAATAGATGGCTGGCTATTTTAATGATTGAATAAAATTGTCACAGCAGTGAAGGGGAATATTCCTTCAATCAAGATTTGAGAAGAAAATTCATATATTCTATATCTCATCGCTCAGATGTAGATACAAGTAAGTGTATATGATAACTAACAGATATCTTCTATCTTCTGGTCCTTTCCATCATGAGGTCCGAGATCCAATTTGAGTGTTCGTCCGAAGAGTTCAAGGAGGATCTCGAAACAGATCTTAGAGATGGCGGGGTCGTAGCGACCTTTTGATAGTTCATCGCGGATGAATGCGTCTTGTGTTTTGTGTTAGCATTAATTGATATTTGATATTGAGGAATAAAAACTTACGCTGAGCCCACGCAACCTCATACCAACTGAATACAATTCCCTTTTCTCTTAAAGTTTGTCTGATAAGATCTCTTCCCTCAGGAGGCACATGATTATCCTTGCATCCATGAATCATGGCCAGTTCGCCCTTGATTTCCGAGGCACGAGCGAGACTGTCGTCTTTTTTGCCAAGACCGAGAGTTGCGCTGTGAAGATCGGTGGCGAAATAAGTTACTGTTGCGGCGACACGAGGGTCGAGAGCACAGCGGTAGGCAAGGTGGCCGCCGAGACACATTCCTGTGCTGCCGATACGGCCATTGCAGGTAGGGAGGGAGAGAAGGTAGTCAATTGTTAAGGTGGAATCTTCATCGTAGGCTTCGAGGGTCTGTGGGTAATGTGGTGAGAAATGAATGAAGATTTAGAGAATGGTCTAGGAGAAATTGAACTCGGATATGTAGAGGCTTAAAGTTGTGATCTAGACATTTGATGTTGGAAGGAACATACCTTGGTGATCTTATATTCATTGCCAGCATCAGTTCCAGGAACATCATAAGCGAGGGGTTCTGGGCCGGTAAACTCATGGTATGATGAAGGTGCTGCAACAATATAGCCTTGTCCAGCGGTCTGTCTTGCGAATCGGGCAACTGGTCCAGTGACTTTGATGAGGAGAGTGTCAGCATGTACTCTTGTATATTTATATGTAGCACGTGAGTGCGGGGTTGTAAGATAAGGAAGCAGGAAGACATGGGATGGGGTATTGTGATCTCCCTTGAGCAAGCCCCATGGGACTCCAACCGATGAGTTGTCACTTGAAAATCTATCTCTCTGATAAGGGTATGAGAAGGTCAATGGAGACCAATGATACGACATGAAGAGATATACAGATTAAGAACGTTGAAACACCCCACCAAACCCCCACTAACCTTGATAAATCTCACTGAAAACAACAACGCCGGGAAATCGTCTATATGTGATAAAAGGCTTCAGCTTTGAACCTTGGTAGATAGTAGAATAGATTGCACTACACACGCTTGAGGGTAGTTTGGAATGGTCGGATGGAAGAGAAAGATTCCTAGATATGATTAGCGGGGATTGATTGGTGTTGAGGGGGGGTAATCAAGCTGTACTCATCGATCCTTCTTTTCCTCCCGCTTTTGTCGGAACATCATGGTGCGTTTCTTGGATTAACATTTTGGAGATGGATGTGTAATATGTCGTTGGTTATTGAAGTTATATGGAAGCTTCTATATCCAAGATTGATTCCAATATCTAATTCAAGCAGGAAGAGATGAGAGGTATTGGTTGATATTGTCCAAGTGAAGCTTTCACAGCTATCAATGAATAATCGAGTATCAGATGATTTCTGCAATCTGGGTCACCGTAGCCCCTCGTTTGAACCTGGAAGACTGTACACGTGATAAAGGAATAATAATGAATATACCTACCTACCTAGTACCTACGAGTAGTAGTAATAAGATCTTCCAACTAGGAGAACTGGTGAACGAACCGTTTTTCATTAGACCCGACACTTCCGAGTGTACTCGTAAGGTTGAGGGGGGTTTAATCCATGTCATTGAATTTTAATAATAATCCCTAGTACCTACCTAGTATCTACGATATCTACCTAGTCGTCCTTCCCGAGCAGTATTGATGCTGGCAGCTGCAAACACACACACATTTTCATTGATTGCCCTATCTATCCATAGATCCTTTTATTATTTTGGCTTGCATGCATGCATACCTCCTCGTACAGTATTAGAGAAGAAGTACGAGTACTGGTTTAGGGTTGCGATAAGAGATTTGCTTCCTGACTTTCTACCCATCCCATCTCACCCATTTTACCATCTTACCATTCTACCCATTCTCGAAATTCTCTACGAGCAGATTCTCCAAATTCTCCAAATTCTCCAACATTCCTTTCAAGATAATCAATCATACTTCCAATAACCATCTTCCTTTTCCACATTCGACTTTGAAGCTTCTCTTTCATTCCCATATCCCAAAATCTCTATTACATCATCTTGTAATTAAAAGAGGTTCTATTAATCCGAAGCTTTGGTACCTACCGAGTTAACAAATTTTACCTTTTACCTACCTCGAAACAGCTCCTCAAAAACCTCCACATCAACCATTTCCTCGAGTCGAACTCAATACAATATTGCTGTTCACACCACAACGTTTTTCAGCACATAAGATCTTTGAGTTGGAAGCTTCTCAATCAATACAAAACGATGTCTAGTGTTAAAACCAGACGACAAACAGCTGCCGCTTCTACACCATCAACTCCCACGCCCGCAGCTCGTGAACAAGTCATCATGAATGGCAATGGTAATGGTTCGGCACACAAGTCTGAAGAGGCTGTGTATGTTAAGGAAAACATCTTTCTCTTCTGGCCCAATGTTATCGGTAAGCTTCCTCAAATCTATATGCGAATGGAATGGCGCATGCTAATCCTTCATAGGATACTTTCGAATCGTTCTCGCATTGGTATCACTATACTATATGCCCCTTCATCCACGTACCTGCACTCTTCTCTACAGTATCTCCTGCCTTCTCGATGCTCTCGATGGATATGCTGCCCGCTACTTTGAACAATCTACAAAATTTGGTGCGGTATTGGATATGGTGACCGATCGTTGTACCACCGCCTGTTTGCTGGTCTTTCTTTCTTCCGCCTGGCCTCGATGGGCTCTGCTTTTCCAAGGACTCATCTCGTTGGATTTGGCTAGTCATTACATTCACATGTATGCGACTCTTGTTATGGGAGGAGGAGATACCAGTCATAAGCAAGTCGACAAATCTCGCAGTTGGATTTTGAACTTGTATTACACAAACAAGGTATGTACATCTGTGTATGAATCTCGACGATGTAAACTAACAAAAGATGATAGACTGTCCTCTTCCTCTTCTGTGCTCTTAACGAAATTTTCTTCATCGCCCTCTACCTCCTTTCCTTCTCCTCTCCTCTGCTCTCACCATCTCTCCTCCAAGTTACCAACAATGGCGAAGCAGCAAGCACACTCGTTCCCGGAAGCCCCTCCAATCCATCTGCCGCATCCCTCTTCGCTAATCCCTACAGCGCCGGCGCATTGGAACTCGCACGCGCAAATAAGATGGATTCCACCTGGCCATGGATCATTGCCGGAATCTCATTCCCCATCATGGCAGGAAAACAAATCATCAATGTCGTACAATTGGTCAAAGCTAGTCGATGGTTGGCCGAGGGAGACATTCAAATGAGGAGAGCAGCTGGATTACCAAGACAGATAAAGGAGAAATGATTGACCTTGCGAAAGGAGATCTTTTCTTCTTTTCTCAATCTTTGTTATAGATTTATTCTGTTCGAGTCTCTCCGACTCATTTGTGTATTGTTTCGACTTTTCAAGGTCCCCTTTGCACAAATCTACACTTCGCATGTGTAGTTGTATCAGATATTTTGGCTCATGTATAGTGCCAGGTTTTTGCATCCATTCATCTATTTGATTGACTGTTTGTTCATTCATTCGTTATATTTATTTTGATATTATACAAATAGGGAGCATAGGTAGAATAGGAAATGGCGTCGGGATTCATTTGCAGCCATCTAAGTCTTATATGATTGATAGGCGTGTGAAGTTGGGTCTGTAATGGGAATTGAATTCTATTCAATATAATGATAATATTCGACTGATTTTGGATTGTTCAATGTATGTATGTATGTACGTACGTGTGTGAGAATAAGTATGGTGGATTCAGATATTTATGTGAAGTGATTGACAATGTATGTATGGATGATTGTAGTAAAGTAAAGAAGGTGGGAAAAGAAATTGTGAGACATGCATATATGCATGCAGAGATACTCTAGGTGAATCAATTGATGTATATAGGGTATGGTATGGTAGGACTTGGGAGTTGTGAGCGTTGGATTCTTGAGTGTGTGATGGGGGAAATGGATGGATTGGTGGATGGATTGGTAGATGGATTGGTAGATGGATTGATGGATGGATGGATTGTGAAGAAACGGTGAACGGTGAATGGTATGTATATATGTATGTATGTATGTGTAATGTTTATCTATTGGTGTTTATTGGTGTTTGGATGGATGGATAGATGGATAGATGGAGTATTTGGATGGAGTCTGGACTTGAGATTGTGGTCGCGTGAGAGGTTTGGGATTTGGGATTTGGGTGTGATGGGGTGTGATGGATGGATGGATGGATGGATGGATATGGAGATATGTGTGGAGGGAGGTGTATGAGTAGAAGTATGTTTTTTGGATTTGATATTTGAGGATTGATTTTTGGATTTGATATTTGAGGATTGATATTTGGATTTGTTTATTATATCAAATAGAATGGGATGAGATGGGATGAGATGAAATGAGATGAGATGAGGTGAAATAGGATAAGATAGTATATATATCTATCATAGTATTATACTAACTAAATAACTAGATGACTAGATGACTAAGTGATTAAGTGATTAAGTGATTACTAGGCTAGGTAAGTAAACCGGATATCTGATTTAGGAAAGACGAGAAAGGGAAATGTGATGTGTGGAAGAATAATGTATGGAAGAGAGAGGTAGATGAGTAGATGGAAATGTGGATGGATGGAGATGGAGATATAGATGGAAATACCTACTAGATAGAATACATATATACCCAGATCTGATATCTTATTTCTGTTACTCGAATACATCCAATTCCTCACGTGTCCTAATTGTAGAATGTGGAATTGAGTTGAGAGGGATTCGAAAAGTCGAAAGGGGTTGATATATACAGGGCTAGGATTGAATTATCTGGTATCGCTCATCCTGGTCTCGTAACCTTATCGTAGGGAATATTGAATGGAATGAATAGAGATGAATAGAATGATTGATTGAGTGATTGATTAATTGAGTGATTGATTGATTGATCAATTGAATTGAATGAGTAAATGATTAATAAGGTTTTACTATTATTCTTTACATAGATACGATACCTAGGTAAATTATTATCGTTTGCCTAGGTAGTTACCTATTCAAGTAGCTGGAGATATCTGAGCCCCTCAGTTTATAGGTGTTTCTTTTACTTTTATAATTATTCTAATATACATGTATATAATAGATATACAATAGATATATAATGTGTAATACTGATATACAATATACTACCGGTATATATACTCGAGATAGATTTCCATGTGAAATTACAAACTTCATGAGTTGTTCGATGTCACATGTGACCTTCTCCCCCAGTCATACATAGATATCTACTATCTACCTTCTATCTACCTTCCTACCTACTCACTCATACATAATCCCCTGGTCATGGCGGGGATTTACTTTTGGAACTTGAATCCTCCAAAAACTACATTCGCACGTGATTCGGTATTCTATCCATCGATTCACTTATACCTATCTTTTCCACAATTCAATACCACGTACTTATGAGCCAGATATTCATTCCATTTCCTTCCTCTCTCTCTCTCCATCAAACTTCACTCCACTCACAACCTCGACTCCACTCATTCTTGAACATTTTCGCTTCTAGAACGAAGAAACCAAGGATTCAATCCTCCCCACCCCTCTCTTCCCCTCCCCACTCAAACTCACTCAATCCAATCAACTTTCCTCCTTAGACCGACTTATGTCAGTCCTCTGCAATTCTTCATTCTCCCTAGTACCGACTGGGTATCCTCGATATCCTATCTCTTACCATACTTCCCATCTCAAACCCAAAATTCCTACTTAGTATGCAATGCCATTCACGAGCTGGATAAATAGACCAGGGCCATAATAAAATCTACTACCTAGGTAATACATGACAACCACAAAACCACTACAACACACCTCACCCATCACCCATTTAACTTTCCATCACAACCTCAATCTGTTCAATCCGTTCAATCTTTTCTCTTGAACTCTGGTATGCATCGATATAGTAACAAAATTAGGCATTCATCATTTCCATTTCTTCCTCCTACTACTCAATTCCCTTCAAAATCATGTCAGCTACGTCACCCCCACCACGAACTCGATTCGATCCCACTCCGATTGAGGAGACGGTGAAGAAAGTGAGAAAGTTTGCCGTCGAACCCGTCGAAACTACGACGAGAAGTAATAAGAAAGAAAATGTAGAGCAAGTCGAGAATGCCATAGAAAAGAAGGACTTTGCCGCTGCCCCGCCCAAGAGACGCTTCCTGCCCGAACCCGTGGAAACGACGCAAAAGTCAAGCAAAGCAAAAGCACCAAGTCCTCTGCCAACTCCAGAGCTTGCTCCCGAGTCCAAATCACAAGCTCCAGCTGCCGCAGATTCATCGGCCCCGAGAAGAAGGTTCACACCTCAATTAATAGAAACGTCAAAGAGGTTCAAGAGATCTACCACTCCTGGCCCGGCTACCTTACCTACTGATAAGACTGATATCACACCGGTATGCTTTGCTGTTGACTTCCCTCTAATTACTCGGTATCTAATGTTTCTAGGGTACAAATCATATCTATGCGGAGAAAAAACGAAAATATATACGTCCGATGCCAGTCCCCTTAGCACCCGACAACACGCCAGTTTCTTCTTCTGCAGATATCCATTCTTCCATTCCACTTTCACTACCGCGTCGACAACCCTCAATGCGCCCTCACAATAATACTAGAAAAAGCACGCGATCGAATTCGTATCAACCAGAATTAGACCCTATAGACTCGGATGAGAATTCACAAGAGAATTCCGAGAACGAGGATGAAGATGCCGAGTCTACACCGTCTTTATCTGACTCGCTGGGATCTTCGGAAGATTCCATGTTAAAGATGCAAATGGCACGAACGCGAGAAAGTTGTGATGAGAGATTTGCGGGTTATCTCCTGGCACTAGCTGCTAAAGCTGCCGAGAAACAACTCATGGAACAAGCATTAGCGGCATTCCCCAACGAGTCTGCTTACGAAATTGTAGAACATTTCTACGATAGGGAGATCGACACAGCTTCTGAAGAAGATTCCGTGGAAGGTGTAGGCATGTTGGTGGATGATGCACATATTCAGGAACTTCGTAGAAATTCTGCAGAGGTTGGGTGGGCAGCGAAAGAAATGCAACAACATCAGGAGAATTTGAATCGGTTGAGAGAAGAGGAGACCAATAAGAAGGTAGCTGAGGAAGCCACCGCCCCAACATTTCACGATCCTTTTTGGACAAATGGAATGACGGATAAAACTCGACCAAGTGGTACTCCTCAAGATAAACAAAAGGAAGCTGAATTGGTTCGAATGCGTAACGCAGCCTCTCCTCCAATGCTTGGTGGTGATTTAGTCTTTCGCATGTGTCCTTCTCCAAAGGCGACAAAATTCGAATCCGATCAACGACATGACGTACAACCACATCGAGTCGAAGATGGAGGTGGTTTATGGGGTGGTTATTGTGTTGCCGAGGAAAATGAACAATATCTCAGTCCGGATGTTGTCAAGAGACCACAAATGATTGCAACCCCGCATATAGAAATGGATGATCCGTTTTCTTCCGCGTTTTCAAATGCAGCGCCAAATGTTCCTGCCAAATCATCGGAAAGAAACAAGGGGGGTGTTCATATGCTAAGTGGACTCGATGATAGGTTAAAAGCCGAGGTTGCGAGGTCAAAATCAGAAGATATGTTGTTGGAGGAGTTTGATGATACGTTTGTTACACAAGTTTACAATTACCTTTCCCTCGGATATCCATCTTTAGCTCGACAATATGACGAAGAATTAGCAAAAATTTCTCAAATTCCAGAAGAAGAATTGAGAGTAGATGACAAGAGTCAGAATATCAAAGGACATATTGGTTTAGTGGCAGTTGATGGTCACGTAGAAGAGAAGAAAGGAAAATCTATTAATGGGGAAAGAAGTGAAGGGGGCTATGGTGCTAGATGGAAAGCGTTACGAATATATATTCTGGAATGGGCGAGACAACATCCTTCCATGTCAAATGGTGCATCGTCACCTAGTGCTTGGGGTGTAAGAGCTAGAAGAGGTAGTTGGGCGATATGATTTATTTTTTATATCGTACGAAATCTGGGTTAGGGGTATGAATTTCGTTATTCTTTAACGAAGAGAATTAAAGTAGTTTGCGAAAGCAAGACAAAGTAGAACGTTGGGCAAAGGCGTTAAGGGAATGTTTTCTTTTTCGTTGCGTATATATATTTATGAGACAAACGGCAGCCTTGGGATATTTGTTTATTGAGATAGGTTGAGGTATAAGGAAGGGAAGGGAAGGGGAGGGAAGGGCATGGAATATTTATTGTTAGTAAATTACGAGTAGTAGATTTTGGGGGATTGGTGATGGGGAATGAAAGGG